TCATGACAACTACTATGGCAGACGACTTCGGACTAGGCGCGTTCTACTAAGTCGCCCTGACAACGAGGTCAACCCATTTCTATAAATCGGAAGGAGACTGCGACCATTCCAGAGGCCACAACATCTTGTTCTTCATATCTTTGACGTTTCTTTATGTTAATGAATGGTTGTCCTTAGTCCAAACATCTTGTTTTTGCTGTTCTCCCTCTATCTTCAAGTATGCCCAGGCAGTAGACAAAATTCTTGCTTACTCTTCCCTTTCTCAATCTCCAGTTTATCAGGTTTTTTGAAACAAGATTTCAGCAGCTTCCCTGTTGTTTTCCCCATATGAGGCCAGTCTTTCCGTTGCACACTAGTCAATTTTTCAGTTATCTACAATCCTTCTGTATCCATCTTTCTGCATAGTCGCTAGTGTTCTCTGATCTTTGTGCTCACGGTTCTTTCCGTTCAGTTTATGCTGTAAACTCCGGAGCACTCCATTTTATTGACTTCTTCATGTTGTGTGGGCAAGCTAATGAAGAGGGTTGTCCTTTCCTTCAGGATTGTACAAATATTCCATTTCAATAGTATCGGCAGCAGCTTCCGTGCCAGTTCGCAGGAGTGTAGACATATACATCGTTTTCCTCTGTTCCCCTTGCTTTCCCTTCATAAACTCCGTCCTTCCATTCATTCATCACCATCCGTATGTTGCGTTGTATTGCTTCTTTTGGATATCCGTTGCCAACAAACGCCTGAGTTAGATTTTCCAGTTTCTCTTCCCAGGACTCGGAATCACTAAGTTGTAGGCTTCTTATGACCATGCTCCGGAGTATTCTGGCTAGATTGAAAGTTAAGGCATATTCCTGCATGCGATTTCTTTCGAAACAACCATTTCTTAAGAGTCATTCCTGAACAAATGACCTCCACATCCAAGAAAGGTAATTGTCTGTTCTCTTCCACATCCATAGTAAATTTGACTTTTTCATCCATGTTTAAAATGCTCAGTCAAATATCGCATAATTACTATTAACTGTTGAGGTGACCTTGTGAAATTCTCCTCCAAACGGAGGTGAGAGTAGTGAGCTCATAAGCAGACCGAATATTTGCTAATATAACGGTTGAACAGAAAATCGGTCGACGGGCTTGCCTTTACTTGCCACTTTGATAAGATGTAACTCTGTGTTAACGATGATAGCTCTCACTGACGATGCTGATTGCGATGCCGTCGAAACGTTTGGAAATGTACCAAATCAATGGTCTGATGCTGGAAATCCCGAATATTATGGTAGGTACGTTCCTCAACGTTTTCCTGATGTTTCGACCAAGCTGGGAAAACGAGGTTAAACCAACACTATAATGGAAAAGGAGACTGAGACTAAACCGACTGCCACAGCATTTTAGTTTTCATATAAACGATAGGATTAACTTAATTTATTAATTGGGCTTCTTAGAAATTATATCTCTCAAATAAAGTTTCCACTCATTCTAGTCAAGAGTCATTGTAGATTAGAATAAATGTAGTTTTTCTGGTTAAAAAGAAGGCAACCTTTTCCTTTCATCAGAAACACTTTTTATTAGATGAGCAAAACGAAGTGTCGTTATACCTTCAAAAGGAATTCCATTTGGTGGTATTGGTGTGTACACCTTCTTGAGAACTTGATAAGAATTATAAGAGAATGAATATACCTACATGTGTGTATATGTACTTATTGTTGAGGCAAAATCAGACTCTTCTAGTCCAATGTTTTGGTCAACACATTTCCTGTCTCTGATGGAGGGAATTCCATCTAGATCACAGTGTCGTTCTTTTTGCCATATGGAGGAAATTGCTTTTAGAAACTTATACTCCTATGAAGGAGGCCGGATTCCATAGTTCAACGAATTATTCCGAAGAGTATAAGGTTTTTTTACAGATCTGTCTTTAAGCCACACTTATACCGAAACTAAATTAACTATGATAAAAATGTAAATGCCCAGCCGATACTTATATCTTCAAGAAATTACTTTATTCAGCTTCTAGGCAAATATGTATATTCAATTCATTAAGATTCGTGTTGACCCTCGATACAAACTAATTTACTGAAAAGAGGAAGTGGAAAGAAGACTTTAGGGGAAATTATAGTTTACTTATTTCTGAGTATTAAATAATACTCCCCAGCATACTTAAACTCGATAAAGTTTTGGCACGTACGATCATATCATATCCACTTAACCCGACTTCATAATATTCTCCGATAAATTCTCAGTTTTATACCTCTAAGGCTTCCCTACCTATGTATTTTCCTTATTTTTCTGTTTCTCTTTAAACTTTCTAGACGTTCTTTTTTTCTTTTCCTCTCCCGCTTAACTTAGGCCGCATCATAAGAAATCTGGTTAGCTCTATACTTCCCCTCTTTTTCCTATTTCTGCTTAGATTTAGGCTAGTTTTATTTCAATTTTTACCCCTATAGCCCAATAGATCTATTTCTCTACTTTCTCCCTATTTGAACCCATTTATTTTCCTTATTTCCAAATGTATACTATTCGTCTTATCTTAACTATTCGCTATTCAAGCAAGCTACTTCTGTTCTCCTTTGATTAGAAATCCTTTGTCATATATTTCTGCATTTCCTTTTTTTCACAGGCATTACTCATTTTTAAACAACATTTATGGGGTGTATTCTCCCTATTTCGTTTAAGGTGATAAGGGGGATATTAATTGAATTTATCCACAATTATATGGATACGCCTTAAGTTTCCAGTGAATTTCACATAGCCTTGCCTCCCAAAAGGTAGTCTAATCCGGGGTGAATTGCAGTTTGGCCCTCGCCTAGGTCCCATCAGCACTTCCAGGGGGACTCAAACCATGATAGTGCAGCGTATACTCTCGATACGTTAACCACTACGCCGCACTACCTGCTTGCAAACTGGAAATAAGATTTCGCTATCTGGAATTATATCTTGCATAGAAGTTACAATTCCTATATTTCTCTCAGCCTTATTAAGTTCCCACTTCTTTACCCTTCACTCTATTCTTACTTTGTTGTCACAAATTGTCATTTATGTGCATTCTTATCCCTTTCTTATTTGATTTATTTTTGTCTTTCATTATATTCTTCATCCTACTTATTTCTCTTTCTCTTTCTTTTTTTTCCTTCTTTTATTGTTAGTTCTTCCTTACTACATACTCTTTCCTTAACTCTCGCCCATATTCACTTACAAATTTGCATAAACTTTTTCTTCCAATTTAATTTTAAATTTGGTTTATCCTGTTCCGAATTCTTGCATTTTTACTTTACTAGCTTTTTACCTTTCAGAAGATCTCTTTTACCCTTCTATCTTGTAGGTTTGTCTTTATCATCTAGCTATGCACTTTATTACATTTATTCCCATTATCCGTATTATTTTTATTTTATTTTATAGGGATCCACATCTTTTTAATTTTTAATTTCTTCCCCCATCTTCCTTATTTTTGTTTTAAATCTGTATTTTTATCTATCTGATCCTTTCCTCAAGAAAAAATTTCATTCATACTTCTTTTACATTTATTTCCTCTTTTACTTTTACCATCTGTTTTGTCAAGTGTCTATTCTTTTTTACTTTGAAATGCTTGCTCGGATAATTTATGAAGCATTTTAGTTCACTTTAACCTGGAGAAGCTTAATAAAAAATGTTCCACACTTATTAGAATTTAATTAACTAAATCAGTGTAGATTCTCTTAACAATTCGTTTGTCAAACAAAATGCCTAAGACTTATTTATGATTGAGCTTCCAGTTAATTGGAACTAATACAGTTTATAGTAAGCATATTTCTCCGAACACATTCTGGATTTTTTTGACTTAATAAAAATCTTATTATTTATAGAAGTCATTTACTTAAGCTTAACTGAGGAACCGGGTCTATGAGAAGACAGAAATAGGGCAAAACTTGGCCTACCCGATTAAGAATAATTAGTTTTAACTTACTTTGTAAAAAATAATAAGCCTCTTTTTTAGTGTATAAATTAAAATATTTGTATACTTTTATATATCCTTATGAAAACCAAAGTGACATGGACTACTTTCCACTTAAAAATAAAAACCTGGATCCTACTTCTCACCTTATCCTACCGAAAAATAGCACAGAACGCATCTGATCTCTTCATATGCATTCATCTTTCCACAAATTTTACATAATTTACCTATATAAAAACAATGCTAGATTATGATAATTTGGATTTCCATCCCTTTTATTTTCCTAACACCAGACTACAGAATTTTAGTTTAGGGTGATAAAATTAAGATGGTGTGGCCTCTAGTATAGTCACGGTCTCCTTTTATTGATACGGTCTATGCAATTTGGTCGTATCACCAGAGAGATCTAGATGAACTGACCTTTTCCGGTGTCCTCTGCCATAGTATACATTATAATTTTCAGCGCCGGACCGTGGACTTAGCACATTTCAAAACGTTCCACAGACACCTCAGTCGGCATCGTCAGTGAGCCATGGCATTCTTAACTCCAAACTAAAACACTTGTCTCTTTGATGAGTTGTAGTATGATGCTAAGAATGACAAGGCTCAATAAATATGCCGACCGTAATGCAGGCGAAAATTTTTGGCATATACCAAGCCCATGGACCGATGTTGGAAATTATCACGGATATTATGGCAGAGTAATAAACTTTGCACTAGTCAGGCTCGATTCCCAGGTAGGAGTGACTATTTGGCTCCAATTTTGGCCGATATATTCTAGCATATCATACCCCATAATGCTATTTATTTTCAGCGGAATCTATCAAAAGTCAAGCCAAACTTTCGCAATGCCTTAGGAACTAATTTTTCGAACGTTTCAGAATGGCCATATTCTTAGAAGATCTATTATTTGACATGATTCAAGTATTTGCGAATATTTTTTTAAGACAGAAATTTATAATAATTTGCTATAAAGACAGTGATTGCTCAATGAATTATTTTGAAAGATATCAACAACCTTCGCTCAAACAGATTTTCGAATGAACTGCGCCATCCAATAGCGCAAGTATATAATCCTTCTTATTCATAAAAGTAAGAAGTGTAAGACTACCCATATTATTTGATGATTTGTTTATTTTTTGGATTGATATCACCTCACCACTGATCTATCTACAATTAATTCCCATTCGATTCTTTTTTTCCATACATTCACTAATTTATCCTAGATACAGGGCATTCCTTGATCAATGAGAATTCAATTCCTAATACTGAAGAGGAGAATACCGATGAAACCCATTCCCAAATTACTTTCAGTGACCCAAATTGTGATCCTTTAAAACGGAAAAACGAGCACCATGTCAGTTTTTGTGATCAGATTGCCGAAGTGACGATGCCGATGATGACTCAAAAAGACCTAGAAGATTTAAAACTGAAGAGTGAAAGCAGCACGCTGGAAGCAGATCATATGAAAGAAACAAGGTCTTATATTACAGAGGCAATGAAGGAGGAGATTGAAGAAGACGATGACTGGCACGAGGCTGTGGAGGAAGATCTAGACAAACATGAGAGAGAAGTGTGCAAAGGGAACATAGAGAACGAAAATGAGGTAGCGGAGCAAGGAACTGATGAAAATCAGAAGGGAGAAGCAGAACTAGTTAAATCCGTGGAAAATGAAGAAATTCACAAGGCAGAAACATTTTTGGACCAAAGGCCCTGTATCAAACCTAGAGAAGAATTCGATGAAAATGAGGGGAAGATATGCATGGCGAACAACAAGGAGAATCTAGGAGAGGTTGTAAAAGAGATGGAAAATGCAAAGCAGGAATCGGAAGAAGCAGAGCCTTTGCAGATAACTAATGAAGTCGTAAATGGTCCTCTTGAGAACCAGTCAATTTCAATAATTGATGAGTGTACGAATGAGAATGCTCTGGACAAAGGGCCCGAACTGGAAGAATCTATAGATAAAATAATGAAATATAACTGTATCTCATCCACCAATGACAAATCTAATTTGCTTGAAAACTCTACAGAATCCAAAGAAGAGACGGTGCAGGAATTCAGAGAGGATGAGGTAATCAAGGAGCACCAAACTTTAGCCCCAAGTCTCGAGCTAAATTCTAAGGACCCCGAGTTGTTGGATGAAAACAAAGAATTCGTCAAAGAGCTAGAAGAGGAGGCTAAGAGGGAAGAGGAGGAGGCTAAGAGGGAAGAGGAGGAGGACGTCGAAAAGCTCGGATCAGCTGTCTGCCTCGTCATCTCTACTGAGAAGCCAAGCTCGCTTTGTGAGGCCAAAGAGTTCGCAGAAGACTGCAAGGAGAAGGAAATGAAGGAGCAGGATAGCAACGAGGCAGAGGAATTTAGACAACAACCCGATCTAGTTTTACACCTTGCTAATACTCTTGAAGAGCAGACTTCACTAGGAGAGTTCACGGAATGCATAACTGATCTGAAAGTTGAGAATATAGAGGAGAAATTAGAATTTGAGAAGGAACCCTCCCATTCAGAGGTAAGTAAGCGTGAATTAAAAATGGACACTTCTTATATTAATTAAAGCTAGATTAAATAGATTATACCTAACGCAATACGGTAACTAGGTAACAATAAGGTAACGCCGCTGCGATTCCAAGCCTTTATTTTAGTACATAATTTTGCGAAACATGAATGCTATTAGAGACAATTTGGGGATCAACCCACTC